AGCTCAGGAGGCTGAGGCAGGAGGACTGCAAGTTCAAAGCTAGCCACAGTAATAGCAAGGCACTTAGCAACCAATGAGACCCTGTCTCTAAATAAAATACAAAATAGGGCTGGTGATGTGGCTCAGTGGTAGAGCACCTGAGTTTAATCCCTGGTACACCCCCCAAAAAAGAGATCATCACCAAGACTGTCTTAGTAAAAATAAGCTATATAAATGAAAATATTAGTATTGTTCTTTTTTTTAATATCTATTTTTTAGTTTTAGATGAACACATATTTTATTTTTATGTGGTGCTGAGGATCAAACCCAGTACCTCATGCATGGTAGGCGGGCACTCCACCACTGAGCCCTAGCCCTAGTATTCTTGTTCTATTTTTAAAAATTCCAGATTCCGGGATGGGCTGGATGGCCCTTGAAAATGAGCTACTTTACCTTGTGAGACACTTTCTCCCTGAGGACTGGAGAGCTGGGGCTTCTGGGCCACTGAGTTCCAATACTGAGGCTTCCCCGGCAATACCCCTAGTCCAAGATAACCAGGATAGAGCTCTGGAAACCACTCCAACCCCATGGAGCTAGGAAGCCTCTTTCTTTCAGCAGTACCAAAATAACTGATTAAGGAGCTTTTAGAAAATGGATGCTGAGCTGCATGCAGAGACTGCGGGAACCCAGTGTACAATGCTGGGGGCCCACAGCCAGATCTGGGCTCCAGAATTCGTGCCTCAATCTCAGCCAATAACTTTACACCAGGAACCTGCTGATGATTGCAGAATTGTGCTTTCTCTTCTTGAAGAGATTTTATAGCCAGAGAAACAAGACTTTGATCATCTGACTTTGATGCAATAAGAAACTCACTGTAAGCTACCTCCTGTGGAGTGAACAGAATTGGAAATGGACCTGCATCTTCCAACTTCCCCTCTGAGGCTGAAGCGCCAGTGTTAAAGTGCTCAGAGCCATGGCTCACGGAGGCCTGCTCCTGCACTTCTGTGGCAGACCCACTTCCCTCTGCATTCCCTTTGCTCCCACAGACTTCTGCTCCAAGGCCAAGTCCTTTTCCTTGGTTCTCCTTGACTTGGATTTCACCTAATGGGCTAACATGAAGGCCCACAGTGGGTGATGCTGACTTCTTTTCCAGAGTCTCAGTGTCACCAGCGTCAGCAGAGGCTCCTGGGAGGCAACCTCTTCCTCTGGAATGTCTTTCTTTGCTCCACATGGATACTCTTAATCTTTGAACTCCTTTGCTCATATTCCTTGGAGAACAATGATTATCAGCCATGGATACATCTATTAATTTAACTGGAAGCCCTTGTCCTTGGGGATCAATTGTGTCTGATTTCAGATTAACAGGAGTGGCTTGTACCTCATCAGGCAGGGCTGAGGAGTATTTTCTATCTTGATTTGACAAAGAAAGGTCCACTGGGCCAACCAGTAAAGCTGCTTCCATTTCTGAAGGATCACATCTACTTCTCTCTGATTCAACCCAATCTTGGGCAAGTTCTCTTTCAGCAGAGGTGTTATCTGATGCATCAAGCCGAGCCTTAGTTTCACCTTGGGAAGCTGTCTTTGGTTCAGTGTGCTTTGGCACTGTCAAGGACAGCTGGCTTTGATCCTTTGCAGTATTTGCTTTTTCTGGGCCAACAGCTGATAGTGAAGAGAGCAACAACTGTTCTGATTTGTCCCTTGTCAGTTTGGTATTTCTTTCCTCACTCTCTGTCTCTAACTCTCTCCCTTTAGTTCGAATTAAGTCCTTGGTTGGCCCCTTCATTTTTTTAGCACGTGGAAGTGTAGGTGGCTTGGATGGATAAACTTTCTGATCAGCAGATATGGTTGGTTCTCTCATCTTACAGTATGGCAAGTGAGATTTTAATCGCTTAAATGGCTTCTTACAATAAGGGCACACTTCCATTCTGGGTGGAAGATCACGTATCCTCTTCCTGAAAAAGGCAAACATGAGAAGTGAGGAGCACAGAACTTGTAAACACCACTATTTTATATATGTGTTTTACCTTTTAAACTCATTTGGAACACCTAGGTTATAGGAAACTTTAGAATTTTGTTTTCATTCATTCTTTTTTGTATTGAGGCAAAAACCAGAAGACAGAGCTTGATATTAGGATAAATATTCCTGGTTCTATTTATGCTTAGTATTTTACTTTTTCTTAAAGTCTTCTAGAAATCTGTTATAGAAAAGACAAAGAGATTTTTTTCAATATTCCTAACAAGAAGATAACTGTTATGATTTAGATATGGTGTCCCCCAAAACCTCATGTGTGAGACAATTTAAGAAGGTTTAGAGAAGAAATAATTGGGTGATAAAAGTCTTAAGCCAATCAGTGAATGAATCCCCTGATTAACTAAGTGGTAATCGTAGTGGTGGGGTGTGGTTAGAGGAGGTAGGAATTGGGGAGTGGCTTTGGGGCATATATTTTGTATCTGGGGAATGGAGACGGACTCTTTCTGCTTCTTGTGAGCTGCTTTCCTCTGCCACACTCTTCCGCCATGATGTTCTACATCACCTTGAGCCCTGAGGAATGGAGCTGGCCTTCTATGGACTGAGCCCTCTGAAACCTCGAGCCCTCTAATAAACTCTTCCTCCCCTACAATTGTGCTGGTTGGGTCTTTTAGTCATAGCAGCAAAAAAACAAAAAACAAAAAACAAAAAAACCTAATCAAAACAGTAACTAAGACCTAAAGACTTATATCTAATAAATTAGTGGTTAGTGTAAGGAAAAGATGACCAAAACACCAACTAGAATAAAATGTTTATCTGCTTATATTTTTTGTTATTGCTAAGCAACTGGATGTTACATGAAAATAAATTGTTTAAAAACCATTAAAGAGCTAGGCGCAGGAGCACATGCCTATAAACCCAGGGACTCAGGAGACTGAGGCAGAAGGATCACAAGATTGAGACCAGCCTCAACAAACCGAGAAAGGCCCTAAGCAACTAAGTGAGACCCTGTCTCAAAATAAAAAAATATCAAAGGGCTGGGGATGTAGCTCAGTGGTGAAGTACTCCTGGGTTCAATTCCCAGCACAAAAAAAATTACATTATTCAAGGATGGAAAAGTGACCAATTAAACTCAGGTCAGGATCCAAAAATTATTGATTAGAGCAAAGGTTTCAAAAGCAATATATGATGCCAAGCATGATGGTGCACACTTGTAATTTCAGCAATGTGGGAGGCTAAGGCAGGAGAATCACAAATTTAGGGCAAGCCATAGTGAGACCATCTCAAAAAAATAAAAAAAAGTTTATAAGATCCATTGCAGTGGAAGAGGAAATTATTAGAATTCCCATTATCTAGATATAAAAAATGATGCTCTACAAAATTTAGCATGTTAGTATTATGCATGCACATACATGCATATAAAATGTACATGGGCTGGGGTTGTGGCTCAGTGGTAAAGAGCTTGCCTAGCACGTGTGAGGTCCTGGGTTCAATCCTCAGTACCACATATAAATAAATAAAATAAAGGTATTGTGTCCAACTACAACTAAAAAATAAATATTAAAAAAACCCCACAAAATTGTAAATGTACATATAATGCACAAACACCTATGTGAAGAGACATGGTCCCCAGTTTTGCACTCAAAGTTTGTATTATGACAATTATTGACAAATTTGCTTCATTTAACATCTTTGTTAAACATATACTAGGTAAAAAGTTTTAATGCGCTTACAGCGTGCATTATTTACACTTCTTTAATATACTCTAAGAGTTGAGAAAAGAAAATGTTTAATTCCAGAGTTCATTTGAAAGTTACTTCTTTTAAAAACCTTTCTGTTCCTATATAGTTCCAGAGGGCAGGGAACGCCTATCCTGCGTTCAAAACCCAGCACTGAGCCTGGCATGCAACATGATGAATGAATTCTTTCTCTAAACATAATTACACTGTGCCGCAATTGAGAATATCATCTGGCCATTACATAGATCAGAAAGCAGAATCTGAAGTCACAAAACAAATATCCACGTAAGCTACACGAAGTCATGCAAAACGAAACCGTCTCCTGCCAGTTGTGCCCGGCGACGATTCTCTCTTCGGAAGAACTCGCTGACAGTACGTTGGAAGCCACGGACCGTTTACTTCCCAAACACCGCCGGAGCCATCCCGTCGGAACCGAGAGACTCGGTTGGACGGGTCGGCCTCCACAGCCCTCCCGCCTCACCCACCTCCGGGAGGACCTCGGCCTTCACACCGCGCCGTCTCCCCGCGGGCGGGCGCCTGCTCCTACCCGAGCTCCTCTAGCAGAGGCGGCGGCTAGTTCTGCGGCTGCTTCTGCCGGATCCCATGCTTTCTCTCCACCGCTCCGTCGGGCCGAGGAGACTTGACCGCCAGTCTGTGTAAGACGTGTAAGAGTTAAGTGGACAGCACGCGCAGCGGGGAAACGCTGCACCGGACGTGGCGGCCGCGGCGAGTCGGGCTCAGCAGCCCCGCCCACCTACACGCCCATCTCCGCGCCCCCGGCCGCGGGCACCTCTTCGCCCCGCCCCCTCCAGCAGGTGGGCGGAACCCGAGGGCTCCGCGGGCCTCTCCGCCCCGCCGCCCCGCTCTAGCCTCGGGTCTCCCCCAGTCCTAGAGCGCGGGCCGTGGGAAGCAGCTTCACCCTTGGGGACTCGCCGCCGAGCAGCGTCGGCACCTCGGCACCCCTGAAAGTCCGGGCAGCGCCGCGTCGACCCTGGGCAGCCCGCGTGCGCCTTCCAACCCCCAGACCCGGGACCCGCGGCAGGCATCCGCGCCGCTGCCTGATGGGGCCCGCCTAAGTCTTCTGAAGCGTTACCAAACAGGGATTCAATTAAAATACTGGTGTCAATTATTGTGGCATAAGTTAATGTATTTTCAACCTGGTTGGAGTTTGAGTCTATTCCGTCCTGGGTGTGAACAGGCGAACGCTCCGGCCACCTCCGACAGGGTCCGCTCTCCCAGAAGCTCCAGTCGCACCTCCCCCTGCGAGCCCGCCTTTTCCTGTGGGCGGGGTTACCGGTCAGCGCGGCCGGCTTTGCGCCACTGCGCAGCCGCAAGGGGGCGGTACCACGGCGGCTGCGACATGGGGGGGCGCGGAGGAGACGCCGGAAGTAGCCGTGGTACGGGTCCGACTGAGGGGTACTCACCGCCCGCAGCGTCCACCCGCGCGGCGGCGAGAGCGAAGACCCGAGGGGGTGGGCGTGGCGGCCGCCGGAACACAACCCCCCCTATTTGCGCTTCGCGCGGGGCGGCGCCGCGTCGCTCCTCTCCACCAGCTGCCATGAGCGAGCGCCTCCGCCCCAGGTGAGAAGGGATCCCCTTCCTGCCCGGCCCCTCGCCAGGGGGCCGCGGGGATGGGGCCGGGGGGGGGGGGCGCGAAGCAGGGATCTGCGAAGCCTGGGCGCTGCGGGGCTCCGTCAGGCTGCTCTGCGGCGGGGAGGCGGGGAGAGGGATGCGCGAGTGGCCGGGTGCCCGGTCTTGTGGGTGCCGGAGCGGGGACTCCGGGTTCAGCGTTGTCCCCTTTCCTTCTTACGTCTTCGGCTGTCTTCTTCTGCTTGGGAGGTGGCCTGTCCGATGCCGGGGGAGAGGCGGTGGCCCTGTAGGCTCCTTGTCCTAAATTTGGGCGGGTGGGGGGATGGGAGGAATGCCTGGTCTCGGAGGGGCAGCCCCGGGGCGGGCGCCGCGCGCTCCCAAGGTCAGGAGCAGGGGGTCGGCCTGACCCTGCCGCCGCGGGGCTCCGGAGGACGCCGCGCCGCCCCGGACGGTTGTGAAGCTGGAGGGGAACAGCCCGGTGCTGTGGTCTGGGCTGTGGCTGTAACAGGCAGGGTTCTAAACTGTTCGCACGTCGGGCCGTTTGGCTCCGAAGGCGAGGTGGGCACTGCCTGGTCCCCCAGCCTGGTCTCAGCTGGGATCTCCTTCTCATTATTATTATTCCCTCCAAGAAGGCAGAGAGGAGAAAGTTTGGATGTATTACTCCAGAGTGAAGAAGATCCGCTTTATTTCAGATTAGAGAAATCCCTCTTCGTGGAGCTTGAAGTGAAAACCTGTAGATCGCCAAGTCCAACTTTCTCTTCTTCAAGGAAACAGATTTATAGAGATCAGTCGATTTATCCTGGTCTGTCCAGGTTCACTGCCCTTTATTCCATAGTAGTTTCAGGCCTAAGTAAAATGGATCATAGGATTGCCTTTGTAGATGATGCTGGATCTTTTTTTGTTCCTGGTTTTCATTGGCTGTGAGTGTAATTGGCATTCTTTCCAAAGGACGCTTCTCCGAAACACACTTATTTCATGGCATTGAAGTTATCATAGGGCTCCTCAGCCTGCATTGGATTATTAATTTGGGTCATGTAGCAAGTGGGGCATAAAGCATCTAATTGTATGGAAGAGAAGAGTGGACTAAATTTGAATTTATAAGGTGCCTGCCAAAATTATAACCTGGTCTGTGACATTAATGCCAAAAGGTATAATCTGTCCCAATAGGTGCATGAAGCAGTAATCTTGCTGATTATTAATAGGATTGTTGAAACGTTTGAATTAGGCCAAATTGAAATTATGGCCCAATTACAGATATGCCATCAGAATTAGGAACAGAATCTTAAGATATAATAAGCTTGATCTGATATTTTTTGCTTCCCAAACCCAGTTTGTAGTTCTGATACTTTTTTGTGTGTTGTCTCACATATTTGAAGAAGTCTAAATAATTTCCTGCAAAATTTTTTTTCCAGTACTGTACACAAATAATCTGAATGTGTTTATCCAGATAGTAGATTTCTTTTATTTAGTATGTATACAAATAATCTGGTCATGTTTATAATGGTAACTTTTTAAAAAGAAGTGATCTTTTTTTTGACAGGCTTTTCTTGCCTGTTTTTCACTTCATCTTGCATTTAAGGAGGGTCATGAACCAGCTCTGCCAGTTCATTTCTCTGTCTTACCATTTCCAACTCAGTTCATTTCTTTGTATCTCTTTCCTCGATTTTGAGATGAAGGGTTGATCCAAGATGGTGATTTTTTTTTTTTTTCCTACCTGTTCCCCACAGTATGCTGATAACTATTGAGAGGTGTCTGGTGAAGGAGTCCCTACTTTAAAAAAGATCCTTATCTATATATACTCAGAGTTTCTTGTCCCACAAAGAAACAAGATTTTACATTATTTTTTTAAAAGTTTGAATCCCAGCCTCATAGTCTAAGATTACTTCTCAGCCCCTAGAAGATGATAGGAAGGTTAGAGATAAATAAAATGAGAAAAAGTAGTAGAATCAGCCATTGTGTGAAGTAACAGATGCCAAACAGTCATCTGTACCTAGATGGTGAGGGGATAATAGAATCAATGACAGGGTGCCTGCCAAAATTATAACATGGTCTATGGCATTAATGTCAGAAGCTATAATCTGATCGTACTGACAGATGAGCATGAAGCAGTAATCTTGCCAATTAGCAAGACTGGTGAAAGCAGAATGTTTTAAAAATGGACCCTACTAAGAGCCTAGGAAAGAGAGAATGAGGAATAGGTACTATTCATTCTTAATCCCTTACTACCTGAAGGAGAGGATCACCCACACACCAGAGAGATAATGTTAGTACTTTGAGAATCAACCTATTATGAAGCAGGAATATTTATGTTGCTTTCCCAGGGTTTAGTTAAAATTCAAAAGCCCATCTACTTAAGACTTTTTTTTTTCTATACAATCTCCTTGACATTCTTGTCACTGGAAAGATACAGCCCCTGTTATAAATGAGGAAATGGCAAATTTTAGTCAGGCTCATAAGTTTGGTTAGAGTGAGTCAGCAACCCAAAGCATAATCAGCTGTTGACATACTGATGAAACCAGCGCTCAGGGACAGCATCCTGCCATTCAGTGACTTTCTCTTTGGTGTCAACTGGCTCCCAGCAGATAGTGTTTTGCTACTGCTGCACATTCCCACTTAAATTCTCTGATCATGTTGTTATGAAAGTAGAAGTTTCCTGGTCCAAGTTTATGATAAGACATTCATTTAATGATTAATCTGGAATTCATCTAGTTTTAACCCCCAAGTACATAAAAAATAACATGCAAATAAGATCTAATCTAAATATGGTCTTACTTTACAAATAACTGAGTCTCAGAATTAGGTAAATGGTGAAGCCCACGGTGTAGCAGGTTGTTTAAAGCTTAATCAGTGTCACACAACTCACTTTATCATTCCAGATCTACACTGGGGTCCATAATCATTAATAAAGTTAGAAGTATTTCAAATGTGCAGAGTACAGGGAACTGAGCTGGGAGTGATAAAGTTTGTACAACATCCAGATTTCACTTAGGATCAAGGGCATCATAGTAAACCAACTCTACCCTCATATGAAGTTGATAATTGTATAGAGGATACTGTACCCCATATACTTTCCAAAAAGCAGTTTTCCTCTCTCTCACTAGCCTCTTGTCTGTTAACTATAGAAATTTGAGGGTTGGGGATGTAGCTCCGTTGGTGGAGTGTTTGCCTTGCTTGTATAAGACCCTGGGTTCAATCCCCAGTACCATACACATACACGCACACACACACACAAAAAAGAATTTAACATTTAAGCATTAATAACTAAAATTAGAATATATTTTCTTCATAATATATGCTGTGTGTTGTATATGTGACCTCTAGCAGATCCTACCCAACAGAGCTTTCTGCAGCAAAGGGAACATCCTCCATCCGTGCTGTTCAGTGCAGGAGACATTGACTACACATGGCCATTTTGTACTAGAAATGTAGTGTGACCTGGGAACTGGATTTTTAATTTTATTTAAGTTTAAAGAACTATATGGTTAGAGATTACCATATAGGACTGTACTATTGGGGTTAGGGTTTAGAAATCTTTTGACAGCACTTAATTTTTGTATAGAGTGCATGCTATTTTGTCTCTTATATATCTAGAAGCACTTGCCTGAAAAAGATGAGTTTTCTTCAAACCCGTAAATTTTAAGCAGCTGATGCTGTGGTCTCAAAGCAACAACCTAGTAAAGTGCAGTGACTGTTATATCATAATAGAGCATGGCCAGACCAGCCAGGCCAACGTGGCTAAGAGTTGCTCCCCTAGTGATTGCCCAGAAGAGTATTCAAATCCTCTGGAGGGCACAGAGGTTTTGTTTAGTGTGATAATTGGGGGAAGTCAGGGATGCAGAAAACTAAAGATCAGAGGCTGCCATGAATCTGTGATATTCCTGTGTGGCACCATTTTTAATAAGGATTTTCTGGGCAAATAGTCAAAAGCAGCCACTCATCTCTTCAATGTTGTTGTATGGAAGGAAGTAAAGTTAGGTAATTTGAAATTGTCATTTCAGAGAACATGGAAAGAAGAAAACTTGGAGTTTGAAAGCTTTGTCATTAACCTCTTCTTATTTTGTTCCCAGTAGACTTTGGAAGTTGTCAGGCTTCTGTTTAGAAATTAGTCTTACTAATTTAAGCTTGTGCTACTGCTGCTTTATATTTTTGCTCTTAGGGCCCAGTGATGGTAATATTTCCAGCTTCTACCTTTTGGGATATCATGTGGTAAATTAAATTCTCTCAGGCAACAGGGCAAATTTATATGTTGTCATGTTTAAGTGTAAAAGATCAATTGTTGGATTTTTCTTTCCCTTCCTTGTATTTTAATTTCAGGAAAAGAAGAAGGAATGGCAATGAAGAAGATAACCATCTTCCCCCCCAGACCAAAAGGAGTAGTAGAAACCCTGTTTTTCAGGATTCCTGGGACACAGAGGTAGGAAATGTGGTCATAGACCCTGGGTTGTTTTCGCTGCTTAAGCTAAATAACCCAGTTTATGTTGTGTAATTAAAAGAAATTAATTTATTCAGAGAACAAAAGCAATCTTATTTAATTGAAGTGGTTTAAACTCTTTTTTTTCTTATTTGAGTCATGGCTCCTTTGAGGAAATTATTTACTCTCTTCCCAGCAAAGCAGTATATGCTTTTGCATGTATTCTCCCTCCCCCCCCCAACGTACACACCCCACATAAGTATTTATAGAAGTATAATGGACCTTTGAAAACCTATCTTTAAACACTTATTTTATAGTTCAGCAACCAGTAATTGTCCTTAGGATAGCTATATTTTGTTGCTTGAATTCACTAGAGACTTTAAGTGTGCAGATTATGTAAGATTATGGAAGATATATTATGTATGCAAGATGCCATTTTGAAGTGTTTTTACTTTTCATTATGTTCTAGAAAGAACTTGGTCCATCAGGTGGAGGGGGGTATTGGATGGAGGGAAGTACTCTTGAAGTTTTCTACGACTTCAGTTTCCTGAAAGAATGCTTCAGTATGCACAATGGAGAGAATGTTTTGTGTGATTAGAAGGCTACTCTATGGTGGGGAAAGAAAGCCAATGTTAACATAAAACTGTGTTAACATAAATTATGCCCCTAAAACTTTTGAACCTTAACAGTTGTCACATTAAGGGAGAAATGCCATAATGACAGAGTCCTAAATCACAGCCTTGTACTTTCTAGTAGAATTCTCAAACTAGAATGAATTATACTTTAATTAGTTCCCAGTAAGAAGATTAGGCCTATATCCTCTTTCCTTACCAGCAGTCCAAAGTCCCTCTCCCAAAGGGGAAAATCAGTTACTCTCATGTAGGAACAATTAACAAACAAGTTGAGATGAGAGTCTTCCTTCTGTGGAGATTTGTTCCCATAGCCTTTTTTGTCTCTTTTAAAATCTTACCTGCTTTTTTCATTTTATTTTTTTATGATTGATAGAAAAGTAATTGAGCTTTCATTCAAAGTGATATTTGGGGGATCTCAGGAATGAAAGAAGACCAAAGATTAGAGGCTGCTATGAACATCTTATGGTAGAACTGTTGAACAGTGACGGAGTTTCCATTACTTTTTTGATCTGTGGGACTATCATTGAGGGAGATGTAGACAGAGATGACTGTCTACAGCATCGGTATTTCTTTCCTAGATCTGTATGTGAACTCTGCTGTCTGATGTTCACTTTGGTTCCAGGGAGTAGAAGGTCTAACTCTTTGTGTATTAATCATTTCCCCCTGTCTGTAGTTTTGATGACTGAGAACAGAGAAATGACCATCTTTTTGTTTTTTTTTACATTAAACATTTCAGTTATTTTAACTGAACCAGACACATTCGGGTTAGTTTTGTTGTTGTTATTGTTTTTGGTCTTGTAGAAAATGGCCTTCACTCAATTCTAAAATCTATACATCAGTATCAGAAGAAAACAGTGTGTTGTTCGTTGTCGAACCCTCTGTGATCATTTCTCTACAGTATGAAGTAGATCATCTTCATTATGATTTAAGGTCTGTAAGGTGATTTTTATCTGATCCCTCTGGTGGTCAGGGTCAGCTCATGGGGTATTGTAGCCATTAGGTCCAGATTCTCTGACTGAGCATTTGTCAGTGCTGCCTCAGTGATGGCATTAACAAGGAGTGAGGGTAAGTGAACTGGGTGAGAGCTGGAGAGACAAAAAGCAGGGGAATCTCTTAAGATGGAAAGTTAAGTCCTGAATCATTGAGGTTTCTCTCCTGCAATACGTTCTTTTTATTTTTTTACAGTACTGGGGATTGAACCCAGGGCCTCACACCTTCTAGACAAGTGCTCCACCACTGAGCTGCATCTCCAGCCCTGGAATAGAGTCATATGTTTGTAGCACAAAAACAAGTTTAGAGGTATTTGGCTCCTTTTTGACAATTATGTAACTCAAAGGGAAAGTAATGTTATTAATTTTGTTAATAATTTATATATTAAAGTATTATTAACATTATTAATAAAAGGGTTACTTTTAATTCTCAGCTGGGGCCAGTTTTCCTTAGACAAACTCAGATTAAGAGGAGCTATTCCTTGTGCCTTTCCTGAAAACTTAATTCTAAAATTTGTTTTCTTATAACTTGAATGTTTATTTGGGAGGAATTTGTTTAAAAACTAAGAAAGATTTAAAATTGTTACTTGTAACTAATTTTCTGAAAGTAACTTTTCTCCCCTAAATGTAATAATAATGGAAGATACTGGGAAAGTTTAGCTTATGTTGAAGTGTGTCATAAGGAACTCGGTTATCTGTAAGTTGGAGAGAGTTCCTCTTTCCTGGATGTTGTGTGGATCAAAAATGTGAAGTGATTTGTCATGTTAGTTAGGTCCAGAGAGATTCTGTGTATTTTCTTCCTCCCATTTTAGTAGGAGAAGAAAAAATTTTCACTTTCCTCATAGAAAAATTGGGGCACAGAAAAATAGTCACTTGCCCAAAGATACCCGTTCAGTAAGAGGTGGAGAAGGAGCTGGGCCCTGGGCCTTGACAGTAGAGCCTCTTGCTCCTAAAGGTGGTATGTGCTAGCTCACAGAAGATAGGAGACACGTCCAGGAGGCCAGGTCCCAGGCTCCTTTTGAATCATAGCAACAGAAGAATCATTTTCCTCCATCTTTTCTTTCTTGTGCTACCAGGGATTGAACCCAGGTATGCTCTACCACTGAGCTAAATCCCCAATTACACTCCCCCCAAGCCTTTTTAAAAAAATTTTTTTTGAGGTAAGGTCTCATTAAGTTGCCCAGGCTGCCCTGGAATTTATGAACCTCCTGCCTCAGCCTCTCATAGCTGGGATTACAGGTATGTGTCCCATACCTGGTTCCCCTAAGTATTTTTCCAAGTAAATGCCTTGGTATAGCATTGGTTGGAAAGCATTTTTAGATTTCTTTTTTTTTTTAATTTATTTTTTAATTTTCGGCGGACACAACATCTTTGTTTGTATGTGGGGCTGAGGATCGAACCCAGGCCGCACGCATGCCAGGCAAGCGCGATACCACTTGAGCCACATCCCCAGCCCCCATTTTTAGATTTCTATCCAAAAAAAAGCAAAGAAGAAATTAGGGTTTTTTTTTCTCCAAACTCTAGTTGGTGCTTGAAGACTGATTTATTTATTTATTTATTTTGATGGTGCTGGGGATTGAACCCAGGGCCTTGTGCATGTAAGGCAAGCATTCTGCCAACTGAGCTATATCCTAAGCCCCTGAATTTTAAGTTTAGGAACAAGCCTTAGGATACCTGTTTTTTTAATTGAGGTATAATTTGCTACCAGTATATTATTAATTTTTTGTTGTTGTTGTTAAATCATTCCAGATGAATCGTGTTGGCCTAAGTTAGGCTTGGTTTTCCTTGGTGAGCAAGAAGTAAAATGATTTGTCAATTTGGGACTTCCCAGTGGGTCCTAGATAAAGGTTGCAGTATTGTCTTATCTTGAGGAGCTCTTTGGATGGGTAGAAACTGGCTAGATTTTACTTAGTCGTATTTGTTCTCTTAGAGGCTGCCCTTTGCAGTTGGAATTGTATCTTTATGTGTAGTAGGAGGAAGGTTCTTTGCCTTCAGTTTTAATGTCTTTATCTACAAATGACATTAGCAGTTTCCATGTATTATCTGGCTTCTGATAATTAGATATATGCTTTATAAAAAGTACTTCTATTTTTTTTTTTCTTTTTTGATACTGGGAATTGAACTCGGGGGCACTTGACACTTGACCACTGAGCCACATCCCCAGCTCTATTGTGTATTCTATTTAGAGTCAGGGTCTCACTGAGTTGCTTAGCGCCTTGCATTTGCCGAGGCTGGCTTTGAACTTGCCATCCTCCTGCCTCAGCTTCCTAAGCCATTGGGATTCTGATTTTTTTTTCCCTTTATTTTATAATTGAAAATGAAGTCATATAACATGAATACTTGATACATAATTTCCTTAAAACTTCTCTATGGTGAAACAAAAGTGTACATAATTGAAGAGTATATATAGTATAAACATGACAATTTCAAACCAACTATTGATATAGTTTTAAATTATCCTTAATTGTGGCTATGTTTGAAAAAAGAAATGTGCAAAGCTTATTAGGGACCAGCATACCAGAAATATTTAATTTTTGAAGTAAAAATCTAAAATGTTACACAGTTCAAAAAGGGACATTTGTTTGAAGATACTGTAAACTGTCGTCTCATAGAAGTTTCTTAAAAATATTCAGTACTTCCCCTGTAATGACTAACGAGTATTTCCATTGACTACTTTTTGCTGAAAGTGATTAAGGACAAAATGTAGAAATTCTTGTTGCTTATTTATTTTTTGAGGAGGGGGTACTGGGGATGGAACTCAAGGGCACTCAACCATTGAGCCACATCCTCAGCCCTATTTTTAATTTTATTTAGAGATAGGGTCTCATTGAGTTGCTTAGTGCTTTGCCACTGAATCCCAAGCCACTGGGATTATAGGCTTGCTCCACTGCGCCTGGCTTGTGGCTTTATTTTTGATAAACTATTATTAAGTTCTCATTAGGAGTTCTTTAGACATTATACCAAGTTGTCTCGGCCTTCTGTTGACACACACACACGCACACACACACGCATCTTTTTCAAGTAAAGCAGTATTTAATAAACTGTTGGCAAATATATGTAAACAATATTTGTCATCAAATATTAATACATTATCTCGCAGATTATTGCTTTCAAGTTAAAATGCTAGAAACGAATGCCAGTTACAGTTCTTTTAAGGAATGTTATATAGTGCCATATTAAGATGTAAATTTTTTTGGCTTTTAATTCTTAAAAGAATGATAATAGCAAAAGTGATGTGAAATGTTCAGTGTGAGGTTATGATTAAGCTATAGTTTACAAAAATAAAGTCAGATGATAATGATCCTATTCAGCATCCTGGATTAGATCCCTTTAGGTGGGACTGATAACTTGATACAGTCAAACTTTAAAATAGATAAAGGCAGTTTAATACTGCCATTGAGAAGGACATCTCTTGGCATACAATTCTCAGGCCATAGTTTTTGAAGATCCTAAAGTATCAAGTTGGTTTGATGAACTAGTGGCACTTATGAATACATTTATTGCCTTGCTACCTTTACATGTTTTTAGAGTATCACTGCAACTTTTGGAGTACATTACAGATTTTTTTCTTTGGGCGTTCAAGTGCCCTGCAGTTCTGCTATTGATGTTTCTTGAAGACATTATTTACTGGATTGAGAAGTTCTTCTGTTGCACTAGCTATATCATTGATTGCAGAAACCTTGCTCTGTCACTGGTCTCATCTGGGAGCTTACTGAGAATCTACTTAAGTGCTTCTGCCTTTTAATTTTGGTCTGGAATTCTGGCGTGGTCATTCAGTCATATACTTTTCTCCATCATTAGCTGCCATATGAAGAAGGGTCTCCATGAAGTTAATGTCTATATTTTTTTTCTCTAAAATTTTCATAGTGGTATCTTGTGTGAAACCTGGATTTTCTTTTTCAGCCTTAAGGAAGTGGCTTTCGATGTCTGAGATGCAGACAAATGTATTCTTTCTAGCTCATTAAACACAGGATACTTAACCTAGAGGGGCATAGAAACCTTGGAAGTGGTCTCAGCTTCATTCTTCATTTCTTCCATTGTTAACCTCCTTCATAAGCCAAATATAGTAGAAAAAGTAATACTACAATGCAGAGGAATCTTTATTCACTGCAGTGTTTCTTCTTTTTTTTTTTGTGAGCTGTGGAACAGTGGGCACAAAATGTACACTGACAGGCACTGAGCCCTGACTTCACTTCCCACCTTTGGAGTCCTCTTTAGCTCCTGAGTCAAGTCACTCTGGCAATGCTGGAAGGACCCCATCACCTGCATTTTCTCACCTTGCTTATTTAGAAAGTGGTTTTAATTAATCCACTGAATTAATTTGGAATCTTATGATCTCACTAGTGTGAGCAAACCTTGAGCTTTCTGAAATTATTGGGCACTTGCACATGCTTTAATAGACTTGTCTAGGATTGTCTCTCCCATTTAGTTCAGATCCTGCAGTTGCCCTAGAATGAAAATGAGCCTCATTATGATTCCAGAGAATATATTCTGTGAGTAAGATTTCTTTTTTTCTTTTGAGACTCGTGTAAATTAAGAGCACCAGTGAATGGGAAAATGGAGGTGGACGAAAATAAAAATATTAATGTTGATCTGCTTTTCTGATTAAGAGGAGAAAATATGGTTCTAGATAATAAATATACTCATACATACATTCTGGTTCTGTTTTTACAAAGTAGAGAGATTTTAACTGTTAATATTCCTGCCTGGGCAGCTTTCTAAAGATTATTAGGAAAAATAGTCTTTAGAGGTATTTGGTTTCTGCCATGGGCATAAATGGGTTCTCTTTTGAACTGACTTCATACCCTAGAAAAATAAAATCAAAGGCAGGCCTTACTGCCGCACCAGGAGTTCTTTATCTTTGGTGAATAATGTGAGGCTGTGGCCTGAGAAAATGAACTGCTTCAGCTTCTGACCTCTGCTTCACAGCCTATGCTTTTCTGTCCCTCTGCCTCCTGAGGGCCTTGCTGACACTTCTCAGGTTCTTCTTATCCACTGGTTATTTCACGGGCCTACTGAGGTGCTCTTTTTCCTTCCTATTTCTTCTCTTTGCCTCATTTCAGCTTCCTCTCTTCTCCAGCATTACCCCCTGCCAGCTGTGTTGTCCATAGCCATGAGGGTACTTTCTCATCAGCCTGCCCTCCTTCTCTGCGCCTGGCTTCCTCCTTGGCTCCTCCTTTACACGAGGTTCACCAGTGGTCTTTCCATTGAGCAGATGTGTACTGAGCAGCTGGTATTAGCCATGCATGTTCTGGGTCCTCCAGGTCAGCTGGAAGTTTCCTTCTGCAGTCCCTCCCATCCTCCTCTGGGGTGTGGCACATAGGCTTTACATTCCCACAATGGCTCAGGCCTGCCTCCTGCTGTGTGAGGAAATCTCCCAGTGGAGCTCTTTTCTGTCTCCTTCACCTCATCTCTCACACACAGATCCCTGGAGTCCTTACTACCAAGACTAAACCGAGTGTGGCTTATTTGCTTAGAAATTCTGCATGCAGATTCCAGGAGTCTTGCTACTTGGTTATGTTTCTCTCACCAACTCCTGCTGTGAGCCCAGTCACACCACACTATTAGATCTTCCTCTCCAGAATACTCCTCTTTTGACTTTGCTCTTGTTCTCCAGTTTATCATTTCCTGCCTATAAAGTCTTCCTCATCCTTCTAGGCCCTACACATACCATTCACGTAGGAACCTCTCCCCATTGTTGGAATTCTTTCACTTTGGTGGCCTTGGACTGTGGTTATCAGTGGATGCACTGGCACCATTTTCTTCTTGATCAAGTTCAGCAAATATTAACTGAATGATTGAGCAGCCCCAGTGAAATGCCTCCTTGTGAACCTGTTAGACCTTGTGAACAGTGGTTAGACATGAGAACCGTTTGTGCCCTGCCGTTGACCAGGTGTGGTCTTACAGTGGGACCTGGCATGTACACTTAAGCCAAAGGTGATTCCACAGTGGACTGTGAGGACAGTTTTTTGGTTTGTTTTTTCGTGGGTCTCTCCCAGGTATCTGCATTTAAAAGATTATGGTAGACTTTATTGTTGCCTAAGATAATGTAGAATCCTCCCCTTTTTAAACAGATCTTCAAAACAGCACTCTTTTGAGTTGCTTTTGTATATTGTATGGGGAGGTTTTTGGTCAGAGTTTTCATCAACTTATTTTGCTTATGTTCATGAATTTGCAAGTGTCTATTATTTCACACATTATGACCTTATTCTCTTTTGATTGGTAATATGAATTTCTCGTGAAAATACCCTAGTCAATGAGCTTTATAATGCTAAGATAGCAGTTTAACTTTCAGGACTACACACTATCTGATACCATCCATCTCAAGCAATCTGATATTAAAAAGCATCATCAGGTGAGAGCAGTCTGATTTTTTTCCTAGTTCAAGTTTTTTTGCTTTAGATGATAAAACCATTTTGCTTTTGTGTATGCCTTTAAGGCACTAATAGAAACTTCAAATTCAGTGTTAATGCCTTTGAGGTTAAAAGTAAATGTTCTTTTCTTTTTCCCATAAAGCAGACCACTTTTTCCACAGTGTTCCAAGATCAATTACTATAATTTTCAAACTTTTTCAGCCTTGTCCCATTGAAAAGTGCTGTATTTTGTGACTGAATACGTAACAATTATATTTGTGAATCATTGAAGAAAGCCTTCACGGAGGAGTTATGCTTACTAGGTTGTACTGTGTTCTTCCTTTAGCCTGGTTGTATCTACCAATGTGTTTCACCCCCAATTTGAAAAATCCTGGCCCATCTGTAGACTGTGAGGTATTCCCAAAGCCTCTCCCATAGTGAGAACCCTGGACTGAGCTGGCAGAAAAAGCTGAGTGCCTTCGAGAGACACGTATTTATTTATTTATTTATTATTTTAAAGATAGTATCTGAAATGTGTGTGTTGGAATGGCTTTCTGTTCTTCTTGATTGAGGTTATTTTTAGTGATGCATGTCTAAAGCCACATCCTCTGGAAGCCTTGTTTTTCCTGTAGGCTGGCAGAGAACAAGAGCATCCACCATACAGAACTACCATATGTGCATGGCTAAATGGGCATAAATGGCTTTTAGCATCTTGGGCCTTTCACCTCCATGAAGGGGGACGCGGGGCTTTGCTGTGGTGGAGCTGTTTGCCTCTTCTCAGGATGAGGGATGAAGAAGATCCTTTGCAAGAGACATGTTCTCCTGAGGAGTCATCACTGCCAGAAAGCTTTAGAAGTTCTTTAGTTAGGGGGATAAACCAATCTTCCTAAAGAGTCTCAGTCTTAAGATGGAAGTAAGATGTAGTAGCATTTAGTTCACTTGCTCACGATCAAATTTTGTCCTCAAATTACTTTTTTTTTTTTTTTTAGAAAATAAATTAAAATAGAAGATCCAGTTCTAAATGCTTTGTTACATACATCCTTCCATACTATTTGTGATAGGCATGCACATGGGTATACATTAAAAAAGAAAAAGCTTTTAAAAACCAGCTGACATATACTAAAAACAGATATAAAAAATGTTGAGACTCTTTTGTGTTAGAACAAGTTTATTTCTACCATCATTGTTAATGCTGGATATAATTCCGTAGTATGTATGTATATAATGGATGTATTAAAATTTAACCAATCCCCTATTGTTAGATATTTGGGGTGGTTTCCAGTTTTTAGCTATTATAAATAAGGCTACAATAAACACTTCTTATACATGTCACTATAAATTTTAAGATTTTTTTAAAATGAAATACAAATTTCAAGTATACTTAGCCTCTTTTAAGTAGTTACTCTATAAGAATCTTTTCAGTGGTTTATTTTAAAGAATTTTTACTTTTCTAAGTAGTACTTTGCTTCTGTAGTGTGAAGTAAATATAATGTGAGATAAAAATTTGACTTCCTTCAAACTGATTCTAGTTCTTGCCTTAATTTTCAGACAGTACCTGTAACGAAAAACAGTAAAGAAAACAGACTAAGAGGAAGCAAAGCGTTCTGCGCGGTGGGTTTCTGATCCAGTGTAGTGACCTATTCAATGAATGACCTATTCATTCCTGAGTTTCCTAAGGGGTATGTGGCCATCCTAGGTTGTTATACTAGGTTAGGAGAGGTCTTTGTAGAGTAAAATTTTTTTTCAAATTGGCTTTTGGCTTCAAAAGTGATTATGGCACAAACTGGACATGGTGGCACATGTTTGTAATCCCAGCAACTTGGAAGGCTGAGACAGGAGGATAACAAGTTCAAGGCCTGCCTTGGCAAATTGGTGAGACCCTGTCTGAAAATAAGAAATGAAAATGACTGGGGATGTAGCTCAGTGGACAAGTGTTCTTGAATTTAATCCCCAGCAAATCCCCCCCCCCAAATAAAAGTGATACTGACATAAATTAAATGTGCACACACATGTATATGTATGTACTATTTTTATAATGAACATTTAATAATCACATTACAAAAAAGTTACAGTAAAGGATGGAAAAAATAAGTAACTGTAATCCTTCCATTCTAGTGTAACTCATATGATTTGTTTTCGAAAGTACTTTATGTGTATATTTTATAGTTATAAGCAGATATTTCAAAACCAGTGTCTTTGTCTAAGGGTAAAGTTGAGTTTATCAAAGGGCCAAGTTAAAAACAATCTTTGTATTGGATCATTATTAGAATCATAATTTTCTTGTGATTGATTAGTTCTAGTATAGTTCAGGTAATTAGGGAAAGGAATTGCTAAGCAGGGCATATTCAAACACCATGTTAACATACAAATGCAAATTGTAAAATGCCATAATTCTGAAATGGATCCTTGGCACTACCTTCCATTTTATAAGTCCTACTGTCAGAAGGTGGGCATTTCAGAGTGACTTGACTTTGATCCAGGGACCTCTGAGTGTTTTCAGTATGATTAAAACACTTAAGTCATGTTATTTTTGATGAAAATTTATTTTTGTTGAAAATTTAGCGTGCTTGTACATATACATATGCATACTGTGCAAAAATGCCAATATAACTTTATAAGAAGTATATTTTGTGTCCTGAGTGGTTGTAGAACACCATTGTATCTGGATGAGATGATCACAAAATTGGCATAGTTTCTCTTGTGCACTTGTGCCCAGAACCCATCTCATTAGTAATAGGGGACCTCTACTTTTTTCATTTTTCTTTTTTATACCCTGTACCAATGACTGATACTTCTCCTTGTAGGCTGAGAACTTCTTTCTTTGGTTATTGGAATGAATGGTAAAAGCAGAGAAGATCTATGTGAAGGAATAAAGATATAATTGAAGAACTAGACATGGTGGTGTATGCCAGCTGCTTGGGAGGCTGAGGCAGGGAGGATTGCAAATTCCAGGCCAGCCTGGAAAACTTAGCCAGACTGTCTCATAAAAATTGAAAAGAGCTAGGGATGTAGCTCAGTGATAGAATGCCTCGGGTTCAATAGCCAGTACTACCTCCCCACCCCCCCAAAAAAAGTAATTAAAGGATGTGGAGTCGGAAGGTCTGTGCTTGAATCTGGATGCACCGTCTTCCAGGGCTGTGTCACAGGGGTGATCTATCTCACTTTACAGCAAGGCTGTTGTGAGGATAGAATGCAGTGTCTTAGGTGAATGGCTTTATCTTTATGAACCTGAAAGCCGAGTTATGTGCTCATGCCAATACTCTTGGAGCTGAATGGGAAGAAAACTCTTAATAAGGCACGGGCAGTAAAGCTCTTATGCAGGAACAAGTGTATGCTAACCCTGGCTCTTTCATTTCCTTTCAGTCTTCAAGCAGTGACAGTGGTGGGAGCAGCAGCAGCAGTAGCAGCATCAACAGCCCTGACAGGGCCAGCGGGCCAGAGGGCAGCCTAAGCCAGGTCATGCCCGGATCCAGCCCCAATACCCCTCAGCCCATGCCTGAGCAGTCTGCACTGTGCCAAGGCCCTTACTTCCACATCAACCAGACCCTGAAGGAGGCCCACTTTCACAGCCTACAGCACCGAGGACGGCCTCCGACATGATGCGTGGGCAGTTTCTTGCCTTCTGTGAAGGGACAGCGCTGTGCAGATTTGATATTTCAACTTAACAATTTGTTTTAAAAAAATTGCACACAAAAAATGCCTGTTGGCTTTTCAGTCTATATTTGAAATAACAGGTTAACAGGCAATTGTTTACTTGTGGTTTTGCTGCACTATTGCAATTTCAAAGGGGCTTTGAAGCAATTTTTTTATAGGATTCTTTTGAGGGAGGGTTTCAAATCCATGTCAAGGAAGTGGTGTGAGGAAATCTCATCTGTGTGTTGCATCCATAGTGTGTCCAGTTCAGACTGATCTTCAAATCTGTCAATTAGAAGTTCTACTTTATGTAAAGGGCCTTTTAAAAATGCGGGATCTTCAATTTTTTAATTCAATAAACTAGTAAAGAGTATCTAGTTTCCATGAAAAAAAACAAGGGTATTTTTTTTTTCTTCCCCAAAATATAGTAAGCTTGATTCAGTCTTGCACTGAAATTAACTGCCATACTACCTCTTAGTATGTACATGTTCTGTGGAAAGTACTCTGTTGTAACAGGAGAATAATTGGATCCATCCAGTTTAGACTGTGGAAGTGAAGCGCCCTCCCTAGTAATAGTCTCTTCTCTGTTATATATTTGTATTTCTAGGGAGGATGTCCTTGTGTACCCAGGTTAACTCTGTACCAATATTCCTTTCAGAGTCTGCACCCCAGACTCTATTGCACAGTTCCAAAAGTCAAGGAGTAGTAATGACTGTCTTACTCACAAACTTGTATCAGAAGCTTATGTGATCTCACTGAAAATTCCCCTTGCAGTGGTGAAAATTAAGGCACATGCAAGTACTGAAGAAACATAAGCTGCCCGAACTGATACCTGAAGTAACAAGACTGTCAAAGTATTGGACAAGGATTTGCTTTTGCTTGAAGTCACCCCTAATGTGACAGGGGGCCTCATTCCATCACTTAAACTGGAAAGATTGGTGTGGATTTGAAACAAATGAGCAGAGGCACCTGTAGGAGAAAGAATGCAGCAGTATTTATTTAGAATAGAAGTGTTCCCGATTACTTAGTCATACTAGCGAGCCAGCCAAGTTTGAATAATGAAGATGCAGATGAGTCATCTTCCTCGCTGATGAGCTGTCTGAACAAGGAGCCAGGATGCATCGGGTCATCTGCTTTGGAGAGTTCCGGGGGACCAACCTGTCATTGGATGTAGAGGAAGTGCCTTAGAGTCCACCGGAAGCCACCTGCCCGCTCCCCTGACACTCCATTCCACTCAGAGGCTACACACCATACATAGCAGAGCTGAGAAGCGTGGATGACTCTACTAAGAGGAGTTTGCTGTTTGTCAGGACTGGAAAAGGACACGGGGAACAGCATGGGATTTTATTATGTGACAACTAAAATTTGAGAATGAAGATTGTCCTAGGGAAATAACAAACACATACCTCCTTTCCATGGGTGTTCCTTTAGTAGGGACAGACTTTAGAGGCCAGCTGTGTGCTGTGGAAACTAGTGTTATAGAGGACGTTATAGCACAGGCCATGCTTATGGGGCACGGGGTTTTTTTGTTTGTTTGTTTGTTTTAAACTCAGATTTTAAAAACCAGATGTTTGACAAGGATTTTAATGGCAAGGAATATGCAAAGGACACATTGTTAATGTTTTGTCTAACAATAAAGCAAACAACAACTAAATGCTGTGAGAAGACAGGCTGTTCGAGCTCTCAAACACACGCATACACAACAAAATTCAGAAATACCCAGGAGGACTCCTGCAGGCTTAATGGAGGCGTCCTACTGAAACAAAATGTATATTAACAAGAAAATGTAAAACTTGAGGAAGCAAGCTTTTGTTATTTTCCACCCAACTAAAAGAATGGAAGATTAAACCATCACCAGAACAGAAGGACTTTCTCCAAGTACAATCATAGTGGCAGGTTGGCAATTAACTCTTACTCTATTAAATGCAAGGAACCATCTCCATCCTGTCTACATTTTCTACAGCCTTGCAGCTTGGGATACATTTATATTATGAGGCTACTTGGTAGTGTCAGTGGGCATCTTTAAAACCTTCTATTAGCTCAAGCCCGTACAACCTTGTATTTCTTGTGCCGCCATTAAAAGCAGCATTAGTGCATTTTGTCATTCAGTTATCAGTTTTTTCAAAGGGAGCTGATTGGGTGGTTTGGGAGATGGGGACAGTCGACAGGGAAGACCCTTTTGCTCTTGGCACTAACCTGGGTTTTTGTTTCAGTGCTTCTGCTGGTTGATTTAGCCTTCCGAGTGCTTGTCATGCTCAGTGGAAGAAGTCCAAACCTGCAAGACGAGCAGAAAGAATTTCAGTGGCATGAACAGGCAGCTTGGGGCCCAGCAAAGTCTCAAAAATTGTTTACCTGATCTGACTTGATGCCAGTGGCAGAATGTTGTGGGGTTCCTGGGAGTTGAATGTGCCACTCCGGGGGGTGAACTGATTATCAGTGCCGGTAACCAAACCAAACAGAACCTGACAAAAGGACCACAGTAAAATGTGGGGCTTTGGCTGTCCAGATGGGAGAGGATGACCTCTGGGGGCTCTTCTTTTCAGTGTGTTAATGCTTCAAATTACTTTTTATCACTGCCATCAATCAGAATCTCCTGGCAACAGTTTTTTTATTCCTCTTTCTGAGGCTTGGGTTTTTAATAATTTGTTATGTACAAATAAAGGGATCATGATCATGGTACCCCAGTGTGTGGGATTTTATCTAACCCTCTTTTAGTCCTTATAACTGCACTCAGCTGTTTGTGTCTTGCCTCTTCCTAAGATTGCGTTCTGGAGTATTAAGTAAGGTAGAAGGTTGATTCTGCAGTTGGAGCCTGTGGCACTTATTTCGCACTGAGGCATCTGTGACCTGACTTACAGAAGTCCGCTGCACCAGGTGGTTGAGGTTGCTGTTGAAGTGTGGTGTGAAAACGTCCAGGTCAAATGGATCGATGAGTGCCTCCAGGTGGTCAGTCACTTTCTCAATCCTGAGAGGATTAGGACCATTATTCTCCACAAATTTTGAGGACAAGAAAACTGTCTTACTATATTTTATAGGTATGATAGAAACCATGAAGTGGATTTTGTTCAACTGAATTGCTGATAGGTACTTGTGTTATGGATGATCAACCTGCTGTGATGAAGTCAAGTCTGCGTCTTGTCCATGTTGTGTTTTTAGGAGGACCATTAAGAGCTCAAGTTATACCCACCATTTGTGAGGTGGACTCAGTAATGAGTTTCCACCTGGTTCTCTTGACTACGGAATTTACCCAGCAGGCAGCCATTATCTGACTTGCTGGCAACATAAGCACTCACTGATAAAGACAAACCTTGAGGAGAATCCTGGAAGGAGCTACAGATGCCCCTTGACTATGGTGGGGCCACATCCCAAAAAACCCACCGTGAGCTGAAGTATTCATAAATTCACAGCTGAACATCATGGACCAGCAACAGAATGTGGCAATGTGGGGGAGGGTCACGTGTCGTGGCCAGGGAGAGATCCCAATTCAAACTCTGAACTACAGTTTCCACTGAATGCTTATCGCTTACCCACCACAGTAAAGTCAAAAAAACCCCAAGACAGACCCCTGGAAGTGGGCAGTTCTGGTACTTGCACTGTAAGAAGACTGCCTCAGGGAGCCCAGGGAGGGTATGACACCTGGAGTCTGGTTTGTTGCGGCCACTCTTCGCCTCCTCACTCTTGGCTGTCAGAACGATGCTGAGGTAGCGCAGGTCATACAGGAGCTGCAGTGCCCGGTTCTGGGTTACTGGGAATGCACCTTCTCTCTGCAAGTGAATTCCCACCCTGTTGAGAAGTGGCTCTTTGGCACAATGACCACCTGTGTGTTGTGAGTGGCCTCAGCGTGGTATGTCAGAAGCTGAGGCTGTACCCACTCGGGGCCAGTTTAATCTCACAACAGCAACATGCTATGTTAAAAATTTCATCTTAAAGCCAAACATGAAAAGTGCTAGCCCTAAAGGTCTCAGTGCTGTCGATGGGTTACTACAAAGGAACACGGCTTCCTGCACAAGGAGGTGGATGTGTGGGAGCCCAGGGACTTAACCAAATTCCTCCCAAACCAGTACTGGTACCTCTCAAAAATGTTGTGAATGGAATGGAATGGAACAGAACCCACGAGCAGAAAGTGTCATGCAAAGCAAGAGGGCGTGGAGACCCCCTTCAGTGAGCACTGCCATGTGCACAAGCTATGCTTGTACCTGCCTCCCTCAGAGTCACTGCCCTGCTCTGCTCTGGTGGGCACAGTGTGAGGTGTGCTCCATTTTATGGGTGAAGAAACCAGTTGAGCCGGTCAGCTACTGGTCACATTTGATGCTAAGGAAAGAGGTTAATGATTGGCCCAAAGCTTGCCTGGTAAGAACTGGCAGTACCAGGGTTGGAAGCTGGGCCTTTGATCCCGTGATGGCTTTTATCCTTTTGTCACCTGCCTTCTCCATGAAGACCTGTTTGACCCTTGAGTGTGGGTGGAAAATGGCAGAGCTGGAAGCCACTCCAAATCTATTAGTGCATATTATGAAACCAAATGCCTGGGGTAGGTACTAAACACTTTGGACCCTGATGTGAACTGCCCAAGCCTAAAATCAGCTAAGGGTTTTAGTTTTTATTGGGAAACACTCAAGCCCCTACCTTAATCTGCTTTTCTTCAGAAAGTTCCTCATAGGCAGCTACCACTTGAACCATGCAGCTTTTCAGCATCTCCTGCAGTGTCACCTTTGGCAAAGCATGACCTCCAACCCGGTTAATTTCCTGGCATAAGCTGAACAGGAAGGACTGTACATACCAGGATGGCTGAAAGAACACAGGAATGTCATGTGCCAGCTTGCATCAGTTAAATGACCATTCATAGTAAAAGTGGGTCCATTTATCTTTACAAGGCACACACATGGGGAACGTGCCCTCTCTAATCAAGCATCTTACAAGCAGATCATTTAACAGACACAAAGTCCCTTGTTAAGTACTCCTTTCCATGGCTTGAGGTTGGCCTGGCTGTTCTTTAAATAGCACAGAGCCCATGCTACAAAAGGAAAGAATCATTTATTGACCTTTTTTTTAAAATTTATTTTATTTTTTTAATACACAACCACAGTGGAATGCATTACAATCCTCATTACACTTATTGACCTCTGCTATTGAAGTGGTGCTACATCCACTTTGCCCCCACAGTAAAGTGAACTTTACTTTCAGTTACTCCTCAGAAACTGCAGTGTTGAATGATTTTCTAAAATTGTTTTGCTTCCCCCAAAGCAGTTCTATTCCTTTTTTAGCCCAAGTCCCTGTGATAAATGGCATTTACTTACCTGTGTAGGAAGTCTGATCTTTGATGTGACGCTGCTGCCAGACTCTGTCTCCTCTTGAATTTCTAATTCATCCCAGTTGGTAGCTGTGGCCAGGACTGAACCGGCATCATCTAAAAGCAATGACTGGGTGAATCCATGAGTCAGAACCTGGTGATAAAAAGTGAATGTCCACATAAGTCCTTCAGGGCTTTTGTAGGGTTTGTTTAGAAGTCTCAGCACACTCCTGGGGGTTGGGTGTGGGATGCCAAGTGGCCAGCACCTCTCCCCTTTGGCCAGTGCCATGATCAGCAGTGGGAATGTGGTTGCTGGCCTCCCTACTAATGTCAAATGTCATCTGTAAAAGACCAGTAGAGACTGAAGGAATTATGGCATTTACATGGAAGACCTGGAAATATGGACCTTCACCCAGGCAGAAAGCCTTTCATTTCCATCCAGTGGAAGGTAAAAATGCAGGGTTTCTGTCTATAAAATCTAGGCTGAAAACAAATGCAAGGTTTTATTGAGCCATATGGCAGAAATAAGGACAAAGTAACTATATGAGATGAGCATCATTATTCCCTTCCTATTGAAGCACCTTCACAGGTCGGCAAGACTGAAGCATGAGAAAGGGAAGGTAAACCAGGTATCCTATGGAGTCCCATCACTCACCTTCACGACTGCTGAGCTCCAGACCCGATAGCCCATCACACTCTGCTGGAGGAGCACATCTTTAACTTCCTGCCATTTGGCCTGCACAGGAAGGATTTCCTGGGCTTTGCTCTTCCCCTGCTTTTTCAGAGCCCTAGCCTCCCTTGATGGTTTGTCAGAGCTCCTGGACTTTCCCACAATACACTGTTTCAGGTGGGGGCACAGTTCTCCTAGAGACTGGCAGAGTCTGGCCATGAAAAGCACGGCGTGCAGCTTGGTGCCTTGGAGCACATCCTGCTGGCCTTGCACAACTTCCTCAATGTTCTGCAGCTCCACCTGGATGCCATCCAGGATGTGCTTGATGCATGCCACCGAGTGCGTCTGCAGCATGGCCTGCACAGTCCCAGCATCTGCATATCTGTCAAAGGCAGAGCTCTTGGTCTGAGTGGCGACAGCATCCTTGGGCAGAGGCACATCATCAGAGGGAAGGTAAGCCAGGAGGTCATCCAATTTAACCTTCAGTTTGGAATCCAGGGCAGAGCAGAAGTTCTGTACATAAGGGCTGATAGCTTGGGCTTTCATTGAGAGGCCACTACTGGCAAACTGACCCCGGTTTGCCACATTGACCCAGGCAGCATCTGGAGGCAGGTCACTAGGACTCTCTGACCAGAGGAAGAGAGACATGTTCTGCTCAAAGTGGATGTGCTTATTTGATGTGGAGTTGCTGGTGCTGCTCTCAAGCTCCTGCAAAGCTGAGACCAGGAGTTCTTTGGAGCTCCTGGAGATGGATTCAAAGCCTTCTTTTGTCAGAGTCTAAAAGAGAATGAGAAGAGAATGTGAAGACCCTTCATGCTCTTCACATACATAAGCAGGTTGGTGATTCTGTTTTGGATGTCTTCGCAAGATCATTCTTTTCCCTTTTTTTGTGCTACTGGGGAGTGACCCCAGGGGCACTCTCCCACCAAGCTACATTAGCCCCCCTTTTGAGAGTTCTGATCCCTATTTCTTTTAAGGAAATTTCAAAACAAGAGTTACTAAAATCAGAATTTATCCTAGCAATCAGAATGTTCTTCATGTTCAGGAAGCTGACATGGTGTAGCAGAGAACAAAGATGCCAAGACTGATGGACATGGGCTCACTTCTGGCCACCTCACCAGGCCCAAGGCCTGGTGTCTTTTTTAGCTCTAGAACCTCGCTGTGTTAATAAGTAGGGAAAGAAGGCACTTGTGACATAAGACTCCCAAGACAGTCACCAGACCACATTAGGGTTGGCTGTGAAATTATGGCCCATGTGATTTTCCACCTCACCTGTAACCGGTCCAGGAAGAGCTGCTGCATCATGTCCTCCCAGAATAAGAGTGGCCTCTCCAGAAGCCTCTGACACACCACCTCCCAGTTGTGACTGGTGGATTCATTGGTAAGTAACTCCCACATGGCATCTCGGATCCCTGCAAGACCCTTCATGCTCTTCACATACATAAGCAGGTTGGTGATCCCGTTTTTGATGTCTTCGTTACACCTGCAACAAGATCATTCTTTTTCCTTTTTGGTGATACTGGGGAGTGACCCCAGGGGCACTCTCCCACCAAGCTACATCAGCCCCCACTTTTGAGAAGGGTCTAAATTGCCCAAGCTGGCTTCAAGCTTGAAATTAATCTGCCTCAGTTTCCCGAGTAGCTGGGATTACAGGCATGTGCCACTGTGTCCAACAGATCATTTCTGTGTCCCCTGGGCTCATTTTCTTTGGGGTTCTTATGTCTTTAATAAGAAAAGCACAAAGATACCATTTGAAAACCATATCTGTCAATCTATCAATATAGCATGATTCTGGCTGGACTCGGGTATGGAGACTGGCCTCTCACCAAGCCCATTCTTGCTTCATTGAGGTATGGAAGGAAGTCCGGTGTTCCATGGAATGGCTTCAAAAATCAGTGTGTCAAAAACAAGCTTAGGGGCTGCAGAACTCTTATACTAAGAGAATTTAAAAGCCTCTGCATAATATTTTCAAAGAAAAATTGTTCCTTGCTTCTCCCCAGGTGAGGTGGTAGGTGGCCATGAAGGCAGGAACAGCCCAAGTGAGCAGTGGCCATGTGGCACATCTCCCTCTCCTCACTGACCCTGTATGGCTATGTCCAAGGATGCCATGGGGTGAGCCAACCTCAGGCCACTCACATGTGGATCCATTTCTGCAGCGTGTCTCTCAGGTACTCCTGGCTGATGGGATGTGCAAGGGTTCGGAGTGCTGGCTGGAACTCGATGACGGATGCTGGCAGGCGTCTGAACCAGCTGCAGAGCTTCATCTCCCCTTTCAGAACACTGATGCCCTTCCCTAGAGAAAAGGCCGCGTGAGAAGCAACCCAGGCCATACTTTGAATAGCATATTAAAAATGGACCTAGAAGAAATTTCCAAAAATTATTTCATTTTTCTCTGGGTAGGTCAAACAACCCCTGAAATAGGGAGAAAAAGAAGGTATAGCATGCGTCCAGACCTTCCCTCATCAAGGGGTGTGGCAGCTTCCCTAAAGTATTGGTTGAAAAGAATGGCAAAGGTCAGGAAGGGAAGGAATCAGGTAGAAAGAGCAGAGGGGAAAAAATGAGTGCTGAACAGTCCTTATCTTTGGGTTTTTTCCCTTGAGGTGAGGTCTCATTATATCGCTCGGGCTGGCCTTAAACTCTGGACCTCACAGGTCTTCCTGCTTCAGCCTCCTACACAGCTGGGACTAGAGGTGTATGCCACCATGCCTGGCAGTCCTTGACATTTTAAAAAGTAGAACTTAAGTTTTCATGAAAGTATAAGCTGGTTATTTCCCTTTCCTCCTCCTCCTCCTGCTTCCCTTGAGGATCTAAGTGGAGAAGTGCTGACCGCCCACCTTGATGAGTGAGTAGCCTGCAGCTCTGCAGAGGCCTGTGCTGTACAGTGCTGCTCACTGATTTTGTGCACAAGGCCCTTCTGCAGTCCCTTGTACTTCTGTTTTCCAATGTCATGACAGATTAGCCGATACTTACCTTTAGTGACTATTAAAATATTGAATGTAAGCAGCTGGAGGGACACCAAGGCATGAGAAGTGGTGCCTTTGCTGAGAGGCAAAGTTACTCAAAGATGGCCCCATGACACTCCTGTCCCCCTCTGGAAATGACCAGCTAGCCATAACAATACTCCATTCCACCTTTGTCTCTATTTCCTCAGTCTATTTTGCTGACACCTCCATCTGATCTTGGAGTCCTAGAGTTCCATGAGGGACCATCTTCATCATTTTCTTTGCTTACTGATGGTGGCATCCATTCTCATGGCTTAAAGTAACTGCCACAGGCAGAAGCACTGCATGTAGTGTCCATCTAGCCCTTGCACTGCTATGTTCTGAGCCCAATCACCCTCTCATTCCCTAGTTCCATTCCAAGGTCTCAGTTGTCTCCAAGGTGAGATTTTCATGTGAACTATCACCAGTCCCTTCAAACCAGTTCCTTTGGATACCTCCCTTCCCACACCCTATACACCCTATACATCACCAAATCCCTCCTCAACAGATATCTGAGTTGTCTAATGAGTTCCATCTCTATGCTCCCTCCTAACCCAAGTTCCAGTGGCTGAACCCTAGACCACAGTGACAGCCTTCTAAGTGAGTTCAGCATCCCTTACCCCATGGGACTCTACTACTTACTACATAAAAGCCAGTGCATTTATTTAATTACAGTTGGGACAAATGCTAACCAAAGATGTAAGGGATGTGTGGGAAATAGAAGGACCATACCAAGCTTGGAAAGTCTCTGAAGGCTAGCCACTATTCTCTGGTTAGAGTCCAAACTCAAGCTTGGCCCATAAGGCTTAGCATTACCTGGCCCCAGTTCCTTCTCCTGCTATCTTCCTTGTCACCCACTAAACCTCAGCCTCACTTGCTTTCAATACACTAACATCCTCCTTGCCTCATGATTCTACACACCCTGTCCCTTTGCCCAGAACTCTCTTCTTGCGGTCTTCACCTAAATAACTCTAATTCAACCTTCAGCTTTGAGTTTAAAGACCATTTCACCTGGGAGGCCATCTCTGAACTTGGTGAGTTCCTTCCATTCAGTGTTCCCAAGGCATCTTGTACTGTGCATTAACAGCACTGACCAGTGTTGACTCACACTTCTGAGTTCAGTACTTGCCTTACTAGACCATGACCTCCATAAAGGGAGAGTCCGTATTTGTCCAGTTCACTATGTATCCCTAGAGCTTTAGCACATGGCTGGGTAGTTGAATGGACCAGGAGAAACGGCTGGTTACGAGCTCACCAGTAGGTTGCTGGCCTGTGATGGTCTCCAGAGTAGAGAAGAGCAAGCCACACGGCAGGGATGGATCTGGCAGCAGATCTTCTGGCAAAGTGTAGAAAAGGGCATGAGCCTGGTTCAAAGTGGTGGCCAGCAACTCCACTAAAGAGCAAATCTGGGCCTTGATGCCAGCACCTATGAGAAGATGTCATCTTTTAAACAGTTTCCTTTTAGTAAAGAACAGATCAGGGCTGGGGGTGTATGTAGCTCAGTGGTAGAGTGCTGGCCAAGCACATGTGAGGCACTGAGTTCAATCCTCCACACCACATCAAAATAAATAAATAAAGGTATTGTGCTCATCTACAACTAAAAAAAAAAAAAAGAAATTAAAAAAAAAAAAACAAAAAACAGATCACTCTGGATACCTCAGTTTCCCTGAGCTCACCCTTCTCCATCCCATGCTTAAGGAAAAAACTTTGGAAAGAAGCCACACCCACCATGGTGTGGCTGGTTGAGAAGTTTCTGAATAGTTGTCTTTCTGGCCAACAGGAAGTCGGTGAGGGCTTGGCGGGGAGAACTCTCTTCTAAGAGCATTATAGAGCAGAGGGCCTCAGCTATAGCTTGGTCAGACACAGCTTGGCATTTGAGTAGCATCTTGCTTTCGTGCAGAATGGTTGATCTAACAAGATGACAAAGGTCAACATGGAAATTTTTACCATCTTGAATGAAAAGCCATGGAAAGAAAGAAGACAGATCCCATAAAACTGTAGTGATGAGGCCTGGCCATCACAGAGATCTTTATGTCAGATGCACTTACCGGAAGTGGCTGGCTGCTGCTACCTGCCGGATGAGTATAGGAAATCGGGAAAGGATGGGGTTGTATCGGGAACTAGAAGAATCCAGCTGGAGCAGACTGTGAAGGTGGCAGCAGAGCAGGTAGAGCTGTGTGGCATGGAGATACTGAGAGGCTTCCATGAAGCTCCAGATCTTCTCAGGGATTTCTAAGAGTAGTTTGATCTGGGCAGCCATGCTGTAGAACTTCTCCTGGGATGGTGGCTGTGGCTGTAGGAAAGGGCAGAATAAAGTCAGAAAAGCAAACAAAAGCAAGGTCAGTGTCCTGCACTTGGGGAATTTTAGGACTTAAAGCTTTCTTTAAGTTGAACTCAGTGCTGTTCAGAAGGCATCAGGTCTGATGAAAACCTTTATCTGGCCCTCTGGTTATCAGTGATTCTCTTGACTTCTTGAAATCAGGGAGGGGGTGGTTAAGGATCAGTGAGCTTCTTCCTTCCTTCCTTGGTGTCCAGCCTTCCTACTGTTTTTCCTGCTTCTTTGAAGGGCACTATGCGCTTGGCTGACTGCTCTTTTTCACCAACCCTGCACCAAATATTTGTCGGCTTCAGTCTTCAGTCCTCTCCTCTTCCCATCTACCTGCTCACTTCAAGCATTCCCCCATGAAAATTAGCCTAGCCCCTTTTAAACTCTTGTGCTTTCTGCCATGTGACGGTGCAGCCGGAGGATCCTCACCACATATCAAATGCCAACATCTTGACTTTGGACTTCCCGGGCCCTAGAACTGTGAGAAAAGTATGTCATCATGAATTACCCAATCCCAAGTATGTTGTTAATAGCAGCATACTGGACTATGACAGCCACACTGCAAATCTCATCTGTCCTTAAGAATCCTCAGTAAGGCACTGAGAAGCCTACAGTTACTTCTTTCAGAACTGTTAAAGTAAATGGACACAATTATTTTGGGAATTAGTCACCTTTACCTTAAAATGTTTTCAACTGCTCTTCTAAATTATTTACATTTTTCCTGACAACTTTCCATGGCTTTATTTCCTTGCCTAGAATGTAAGCTTCTTCAGAGCAGGAATTGGGTGAAGTGAACAGAAAAGGTTCTCAAATTTTGTGTTTGACCAAGAATAAAATAGATATAACTATGAAAATCAATACATTTCAAAATCAGGCATAATACCCGTTGGCCTTTTAATAAGCCTGGAAACACGCCTCAGTCACAGCCAAGTCTGGCTATCTGTGTGTGGAGGGGGCACAGCTTAGGGAGGGGTGGGGTCACTGATTTAAAAAGCAGAAGGGCTTTCCAACCTTCCGTGTATTGTTCTAGAGTGATACCCCAGTCTGCTGGCCTGGATTTCTCTGGAACCCAGGGAGCATGAGAAAGTTTGAAACAGGAGCTGACTGTACTTTGGCGTGTCTTCTTCCATGTTGCAGGAAGCCTCTCCCAGGTTATGACCGAGTTCCCTGTTAACCTGTTCTACCCTCTATGCTCTTCTGCTTGGTTCATCCCTAGGTCGCCCTTCTTTAAGGAGGCAAGCTGCTGCTGCTCAGGATGTCCACCGCCCGTCCTTCAACATGGGGTGTGAACATTGGCGTGGGGGACGAAGTCAGGATGGCCTAACCGAGCCTGCGTTCCCTGGGATGAAAACGTTCGCGCCCGAGGGCGAGGGCCTGGCGCTGGGCTGGGGCAGCTCTTCGGCCCTGGGGAAGGTGCTGGGGGCGGGACGCGGGGAGAGGCATCTGCTCCCTGAAACCCGGCGTCCGGAGGCGGGGTGCGCCGCGGAGCCGAGCCGTCGGGAGACCCCTTGCGTCCCTGCGAGACCGAGTGAGCGTGGCGAGGACTCACGGCCCGAGCGAGCGCCCCGGCCGGCGGCTCCGGGAAGGTGAGGGCGCGGGGGGCGGGCGCACCTGAGGGGCGCGCGGGGGCCGCGGCCAGCCGGCCTGGCGCAGGCGGGCGCAGTACTGGTCGGTGGCCTTCACGGCGTCTACCAGCCCCTCAGCGCAGCGGCGCATCTGCCCGATGGTGTCTGCCGCCTCGATCAGGTCGCGGTACCGCTCTCCCACCATCTGCCGCAGCTCCTCCTTCTTGTGCTCGATCTCGGCCCTAACCTGGCGCTCCAGCCCGCGGATCTCCTCAGCCCCATGAGTCTCGAAAAGCGCCGCAGGGTCGCGCAGATCCAGTCGCTTCAACGCCGGGGAGGCGGCCGCAGCCGCCATGGTGCACCGGTCAGCCGGCCGACGGCCGCTTCCGCTGCCAGCCCCGCCCCGCCGCCATCTTTGATAGGGGCGGCCGCGCTTCCGCTCGGCCGGGAGCCATGTTTGTTCCGGGCTTCCGGGGCTGAGGGGCGGGCGGGCGCGGCGGAGCGGTGACGGCCCTCTGCGTTTTCTCGGGAGGTCTGGGCTGTTGAGCGGGTGTCGGGGTCGCCCTGGTGCCAGCTGGTCAGAGCCTTACGGCAACCTGGGGTCTTTCGTCCTTGGAGAAGAGCTTTGCGGTCGAGTTAGTTAATAAGCTCGAGATTAACGTAATTGATGTAATTATCGTAATTAAAGGCGGCCTGACGGCGACGCCTCGGCGCTCGCGTCTGCAGGGCGGTCGCAGCGCCGGGGCGGGTTCTCGCGTCCTGCGACAGCGCACCTCCTTCCCCGCGGCGAGCTGGAGCGCGCGGGCGGCGGGCCCGACCTGGCCGGTCCCCTCCAGGGCAGCCGAGGAAGGGCAGAGCCGCCCCTGCTCGTGGGGATGCTCGGCCTCAGAGAAGGCCCTGCAGGGCGGCCTGGTGCCGTCGGGCGTCTGCGGGCCTCTGTCACCGGGGCTCCCGGCCGTCCGTGTGTAGCCCCCAGAGGTGTGTCCGCCGCAGCCTCCCGCAGGGAAGGAGGGCCGTGGGCCGAAGACCGCACTGCCTGCGAGGGATGGGGTGAGGACCCCAGTGCTGACCCAGGTCGATGGAACAGAAGGCCGTTGGTCACCTTCTCCCAAGCCAGAGTTTATCCTGGAGATTTCGTGGTCACGAGGAGAGGTGCCCACTACAGTGTCTGTCTCATGGTCAGGGCATCTACAGCCCTCCCAATTTCCTCTCCCACCCACCACCTCCGTTATTTTGAGGTAAATCCCAGACATCAAAAATCAGTAAGTAATAAGGTTGTGATATTCTAGTGTCCCTCACCGGACCCCTGCCACGTGGGGAATGGCATTCTCACCTTACAGATGGTTAACCCAAGGCTGAGAGGCAAAGGGACTTACACAATACAGTTCTCAAAGCCTGTCCTCCGAATCATCTAATTTTATATACACATCAGCTCTGCAATGTAGGTAGGAAAATATTCCTATTCTTTGCACCACTAAAACCCAGAGAAGTTTATTTACCTGCCAAGCCACATAGTTTGTAAGTGACAAGTCAACACTTGTGTCTACATTTTTTGGCTCTTAAGCTTTTCTACTTTCCCAATTTGCCCCAAACCTAGAACGCCCTCTGGTGGTGGGGCTGTGTTTCTGTAATCTCAGTCAGCTGGCCAGCATCTACCAAATCTCTGTTTTGTGACTAGGGGATTCATGTCTGCCTGGCAAGGTCTTTTCCCAGAACTCCTTATGGCTGTGGTGCAAGATTGTGCCTGGGACTTTAATGTCAAAGGCAAGGAGGAGGGTGGCAATTTCATTCTGCTGATTGGTGCTGGTAATCTCTGTAGCATCCACTCCCCAGCAGCAGCTCCCAAGTGCCAAATGTTGGAGACAGGTGTGGGTATCCACAAAGATGTCCTCTCCAGAATCACCCTGTGCCATGCTTCAGGCTCTAAATCAAAGAGCATCCCTTTGTTCCTACCTGTCCCCTTAACTGGTTCCCCAACATTCCCAGAATTTCCATGAGCTGTTCAATGTCTTGTGGATAAACTTCATTTCTTTAGAAATCAAAACTGTTGTGTGTAGCTTGCCTTAGAGACTGACACCTGTCCCTGAGCTTCCAGCTCTGTGTTTTCTGAGGTCTTTCCAATAGCATGTGGGGAAATGCCAAGATGTCAGAGTGTGGAGCCTGGGGCTCTGTGTGAGGTGGCTTGAACTTGTGCACAATACCTGCAGTTTTCATGAAGAACTGAGGCCAGCTGCCAGATGATTGTCCTCACCAGCCAGTGTGTTCTAAAACCAAGGCTTGCTCTCCCTGCCTGTCTGCTGGTTTCCCTGGCCAAGTTCATCTGACTGCCCTGAAGATGCCACTGTTGCTCCTCTCCCAGCAGAACTGAACAGTGATGGAGGCTGTCGAGAACTTTCTTTTTCTGAGGCTTGGAGCAAATGTGCTCTTAGCTCCTGGCCCCAGAAGCCTCCTTTCCCTTCCCTTGCATCCTGAGAGCAGCCCTTCCTTCTGCACATCAGCCAGAGCTATCAGGGAATGGTCAAAGAACTCATATGTATCTGCTGGACCAAGCCCTGAGCTAGGGTCAGAGGAACAGAGATGAGGAACTAGTCCTTTTACTTAAGGTGTTAGGAGGTCCACAAGTATTGCTATAGTTTAGTTTTGTTGTAGAGATGAGTGCAGGTGTGTAATGAATGATTCTTCATGTCAGCCTGCCTTTCTTTTACTTAGATCTTTAGTTGCAGAATTAAACAAGAGATGTTTAGCAGCTTACGTTTAGATCTTTCTGGGCCCCAAAATCAAGTCTAGTCATTCTGTTCATTATAACTATGATTTTGAGCATGTGGGCATCTGCACATAATAATAACAATAATACATAACACAATAACAATAATCCTACGTGCAAGTAGGGTGGCAGTCATTGTATAGTTAAAACGAGGGTTCATCAGGACCAGGTAACCTGTGGGAGGTCATAGAAGCAGGTCAACAGCCAGCCCATCTTCAGATTGAAGTCAGCCTGACTCTAGAAGCCCTTGATCTTTCCACTGTGTTGCATGATTAGCTTCAAAGAAAATTTCAGAATATCAGGAGACACATGGCCCAGACAATTATGAGCAACGTTCAGATGGTTCCCAGGCTGCTGCCTGCCTGAGAGTGGGCCCCTAGTCATGCAGGCAATTTGGGGACTCAAGCTGGAGTGGATTGGCTAGGGGCTTGCGGGCAACTGTCACATGGGGTGGCCATGCTAGTAGCCAAGTGTGGGCATCCTGGAGAACTCTTTCAAAACTGGAGATCCATTCTGGCATTTTTGCTTTTCCTAGGCCTGTCAGTGCAGACTGTCAGTATTATCTTATTCAGAATGTCGAGGGGACATACTCCTTGTTTTTTTTAGGAGAGAGAATTTTTTTAATATTTATTTTTTAGTTTTCGGCAGACACAACATCTTTGTATGTGGTGCTGAGGACCGAACCTGGGCTGTACGCGTGCCAGGAGAGCACGCTACCGCTTGAGCCACATCCCCAGCCCAACTCCTTGCTTTTTAATAGAAACACAGAAAGTAAGCCAGAGTAATGCTTAAAATAGCAGAGTTTTGCCATATTTGAATATCGACTGTCTTCCAAAGGCCCACGTTTTAAAGGCTTGGTCTCTAGGGTGGTACTTCAGGAGGTGGTTGGGCCTTTAAGAGGTGGCATCTGGTGGGAAGCCTTAGATCACTGGAGGTGGCCCCCTGCTCCCCTTCTTGCTCCCTCTTTGCTTCATGGCCATGAGGTGCATAGCTTTGCCTTGCCACGTGCTGCCCTGGCTTTCCACAGGCTCAAGGTGATGGCTCAACTGATCCTGGGCTGAAACCTCCAGAACTGAGCCGAAACGAACCATTTCTCTTATAAGTTGATGACCTCAGATGTTTGTCACAGTGACGGGTCACTGATAAATACAGGTGTGTAACAGGCTTTTGTAGGCACCACACATTCCTCCTTTGTGCAGGGTGTGGTCCATCATTGGGGAAAGGGTTCCATAGGCTGTGGTTCTGGTACCAAAAAATTCAGCCCATATTTGCAAAATGTCATGCAAATATGTGACATAATCACAGTATCTGCATAAAAGATGTGTTGGAAAAGACATGTCTTCCAACACAACATGCTTTTATATTTGAAATATTAAAAACAATTATCACCCGTATCCCACCCACTTAACCCTTGACCCTATGCTTCTTGGACACAAGGGGGCTGCATGTTTGCATGTCCACATCTCTTCCCCCGGCTCTGATGATGGAGGGAACCGTGTTCTGTGGTAGAGTTGGGGCGGAGTGTGGGCTGGGCCACCCAGAGAAGAGTGACACACAGGAGACACAAAATCACTTAGGAAAATGAAAATAAGAAATCTAACTTCAGGAAGGGAGAAGGCTACAAAGGAAAACAGGAAAGGAATGTGATCACTAACGGGAAGGAGGGTGAGGAAGGTGGGAAACAGGTGCAGTAAAGGCCGGACCGTCAGTGGAAGTCATGTTGGGCTGGACCAAGGTGGAGATGTACACTACTGCCCCGTGGGGTTCAGATGTTTGGTGTTTCCCCCTGGTGAGATGCCAGTGGCATTGAGGGCATAATGTAGTTGTCTTGACATTTTATCTTTATGGCACTGTTTATCAGCCTGTGTCTACTGGAGGTGACATTTGTGGTAGAAGGGGTGGTTATTTGACTTCACTGTTTGCAGATACCTGAGACCCTGCCTTCTACAAACAGCCAGGCAGGCGCTGCACCCGAGGAGGGAGCCTGCAAGTCTGGCTTCACACCACCTCACCACCCTGACTCAAGGACCATGGCCAAGCTCACCCCCAGATGCTGTGTCCTTCACCAGTGTGTAGCTGAGTCCCTTCTGTGTTGCCCAGCTCTGTGCTGGGGGACAGGGAACCAAGGGTGTTAACTGAAGCTCTGATTCCGCAGCAGGTGCTTCTTCTTCTCACCTTCTGTGTTGCCTGGTCCTCCCACCAGCCCACCCCAGCTGGTGGACTTGGTTTACATGTATTGAGAAAACAGGACTCAGCTGGGATGGCCTCGAGGTCCCTCCACTAAATCTGCCCACCTACTCAAACACACGCGCCCACCTTCTCCCTTCTCTCCTGTCACACAAAGTGCTGCTGCTCCTCCAAGCTCTGCATGTGACCTTGGGCCCTCACCCTTCCCACCTCCCTAGGACCTCAAGTCCTCCTACACAGTCTTCTCCCTCTTAGGTAGATCATTCCCACTACCTTAAAATGGTTCTCTAGGATCTTCCATGTTCCAAAAACATTGCACTGTCCGTGTGTCTCCCTTCCTTGTCCTGGTGAAGTGTCCTGGCCCTTTTGTCTCCAAGTCACCACCTACTCTTCCACCCATTAGGTCGTCTGTACTACCACTGCGTCCACCGTGTCCACTGGAAGGCCTCTCTCTCCATCTTG